GATCATTTCAATAGATGCAGAAAAAGCCTTTGACAAAATTCAGCATCCATTAATGACCAAAGCTCTTCAAAGAATGGGCATAGAAGGAACCTACCTCAACATAGTAAAGGCCATATATGATAAACCTAGAGCATACATTATTCTCAATGGTTAAAAACTGAAAGCATTCCCCCTAAGATCAGGAACAAGACAGGGGTGCCCACTTTCACCACTGTTATTCAACATAGTTCTAGAAGTCCTAGATACAACAGTCAGAAGAAAAAGAAATGAATCCAGATCGGAAAAGAAGTAAAGCTCTCATCATTTATAGATGACATGATACTGTACATAGAAAACCCTAAAGATAGTGTCAGAAAATTACTAGAGCTAATCAGTGAATTTAGCCAAGTTGCAGGATACAAAGTCGATACACAGAAATCACTTGCCTTTCTATATATTAACAATGAAAAATCAGAAAGAGAAATTAAGGAATCAATCCCATTCACCATTGCAACAAAAAGAATTAAATATCTAGCAATAAACTTACCTAAGGAGACAAAAGAACTCTACACAGAAAGTTATACGACACTAATGAAATAAATCAAAGATGACATAAACGGATGGAGAGATATTCCATGTTCCAGGGTAGTAGTTATCAACATTGTAAAAATTACTGTACTACCAAATGCAGTCTATAGATTCTGTGCAATCCCTATCAAATTACCAATGGAATTTTTCACAGAACTGGAACAAAAAATTTCACAATTCATATGGAAGCACAAAAGACCCTGAATAGCCAAAGCAGTCTTGAGAAAGAAGCATGGAGCTGTAGGTATCAACCTTCCTGACTTCAGAGTATACTACCAAGCTACAGTCATCAAGACAGTATGGCACTGGCACAAAAACAAATATAGACCAATGGAGCAAGATAGAAAGCCCAAAAATAAACCCATGCACCTATGGGTACCTTATTTTTGACAAAGGAGGCAAGAATATACAATGGGACAAAGACAGCGTCTTCAATAAATGGTGCTGGGAAAACTCGACAGCTACATGTAAAAGAGTGAAATTAGAACACACTTCCTAAAACCATGCACAAAGATAAACTCAAAACGGATCAAAAACCTAAATGTAAGACCAGAAACTATAAAACTCTTAAAGGAAAACAGGCAGAACACATGATGACATAAATCAAAGCAAGATCCTCTATGACCTACCTCCTAGACTAATGGAAATAAAAGTAAACAAGTGAGACCTCATTAAACTTAAAAGCTTTTGCATAGCAAAGAAAACTATAAGCCGGGTAAAAAGACAACCCTCAGAATGGGATAAAATAATAGCAAATGAAACAACTGACAAAGGATTAATTTCCAAAATATACAAACAGCTCATACCACTCAAAGCCAGAAAAACAAACAACCCGATCAAAAAGCAAAAGAGACACTAAACAGACTTTTCTCCAAAGAATACATACAGATGGCTAACAAACACATGAAAAGATTCTCAACATCACTCATTTGAGAAATGCAAATCAAAACTACAATGAGATATCGCCTCACACTGGTCAGAAAGGCTACAAACAAAAAATAATCCAAAAGTCTACAAACAATAAATGCTGGAGAGGGTATGGAGAAAAGGGAGCATTCTTGCACTGTTAGTGGGAATATAAATTGATACAGCCACTATGGAAGACGGTATGGAGATTCCTTAATAAACTAGGAATAAAACCACCACATGATCCAGCAATCCCACTCCTAGGCATATACCCTGAGGAAACCGAAATTGAAAAAGACACATGTATCCCATTGTTCATTGCAGCACTGTTTACAATAGCTAGAATATGGAAGCAGCCTAGATGTCCATCAATAGATGAATGGGTAAAGAAGTTGTGGTACATATTCACAATAGAATATTGCTCAGCCATAAAAAGGAACCCCTTTGAGTCAGTTCTGATGAGGTGGATGAACCTAGAACCTATTATACAGAGTGAAGGAAGTCAGAAAGAGAAAGAGAAATACCGTATGATAACATATATATACGGAATGTAGAAAAATGGTACTGAAAAGTTTATGTACAGGGCAGCAGTGGAGAAACAGAATAGACTTATAGACATGGGGAGAGGGGAGGAGAGGAGAGGGTGAGATGAATGGAGAGAGTAACGTGGAAACTTACATCACCACATGTAAAATAGATAGCCAATGGGAATTTGCTGTATGGCTCAGGAAACTCAAACAGGGGCTCTGTATCAATCCAGAGGGGTGGGATGGGGCAGGAGATGGGCAAGACGTTCAAAACGGAGGGATATATGTACTTATGGCTGATTTCATGTTGAGGTTTGACAGAAAACAACAAAATTCTGTGAAGCAGTTATCCTTCAATTAAAAAAAAAAACACTGTCATATGTGTTGGAGATATAAGGGTTAATAAGACACAGTTCTTGTTCTAAGAGAAGTTACAGTTTGACATAATCAGACTTTATATTCCCAAAATAAACCTAAGTGAAATGTCACTAATAGACTACTTTAGATGACTTTTATAAGTATAAATGACTAAACAGTTTCAACAACATCAAGAATTAATGTAGCAATCCATATTACATACAACAGTTGATCTTTGGTATATCAATTTTCATGTCCATTCAAGCTCTCTTATTCTCAGAATGTACAGTTGAAGATGATCCCATGGTGTTTTGGTACCAGAGTACCCTTTGTTTATGATTTGTATATAATGGCTGTGAGGATCCTTTCTTTGTGAATTTGGAAATAAAATGTGTAGATTCTCCCTGAAAACAATAGGAAATAAGTTTTATTTATATTTAATAAGGGTAATTTTTAAAATAACCTTCCAAAGCAGTTGGTCTCCAGTAGATAAAATGTTGTGGTACTCCTCTGGTACACTATGGAATATAATTAAACTCTATATTGTATGGTTACCTTCAGAGAGTTCAGAGTGCTTTGAACTCATGGCCCCTGAAGGGTTGGAAATGAGCTTAAAGATATTCTACCAATTTATTTGACTGGGAAACTCATATTCAGAGAAGATACATGTTTTCCTCAAGGACATTCATTGAGTGAGAAGGAAGACTGTGATTTTACCTAAGGATTCTGTGTCTAATCCAGAATTCTTCAAGCTATGAATTATTCATAAATATATATTTTTGGAGGGAAAGTCATATCTCTAATAGTTAAAAGATTTTTTTACACAAGCAGACAATGCTTGAATTAAAATTTCTACTGTCCCATTAGATGTCCATCAGCAGACGAATGGATAAGAAAGCTGTGGTACATATGCACAGTGGAATAGTCTGTTCAGTTCAGTTCAGTCACTCAGTCATGTCTGACTCTTTTCGACCCCATGAATCGCAGCACGCCAGGCCTCCCTGTCCATCACCAACTCCTGGAGTTTACTCAAACTCATGCCCATCGAGTCGATCAGGATGGGGAACACATGTAAATCCATGGCTGATTCATGTCAATGTATGGCAAAGACCACTACAATATTGTAAAGTAATTAGCCTCCTACTAAAATACACAAATTTTAAAGTAAACAAATAAATTGACATCTAATCTTTGAAGTTAGCTTATCTTGAAGCCAAGAAAATGGAATTATCCAAAGAATGGCTGTTTCTTTGCAGTGCTCTGGTTAAGCTGAACTTGCTTACTGGCAGGGCTGCCCTCTTAGGTGTGGCAGCATGAGTGGTGTCCGGGGCTGCTCTGGGGCACAGCCTTGTGCTTCTGGTGGCCGTTCTTTAAGCAAGGCGTCCCGAATCTGGAAGCAGTGTAGACACTGACAGCTAGCGTTGAGAGGAGAGGGTCAAGTAGACTTCATTTGAGAATATAGGTTTTAAAAATTAGATTCTATCGTTCTGCAAAGGTGAAATTTGGATCAAGAAAAGGAAATGGGGCGATAAAAGCATGGTAGAAAGAGAAGAGGACAGGAGCCAGCATCTGACTGTCAACTATGATGAGTGATTTAAAGATTTTAGTCTGTTAAGTGGTTAATCTCAAATCTTGGTATGCTTTTTTATACCTGGTCTGTAAACCTTAGTATCTGTCAGGAAGCAGGATTCATGAGAGAAAGTGGAGTACTTACATTGATATTTGTATTGACTTTTAGTTTATAAGCTGCTAAGTCACTTCAGTCGTGTCTGACTCTGTGCGACCCCATAGACGGCAGCCCACCAGACTCCCCCATCCCTGGGATTCTCCAGGCAAGAACACTGGAGTGGGTTGCCATTTCCTTCTCCAAGTTTATAAGCTAGTTTATTTTAAAAAATTAGACATTTTTAGGAAATGGTGTTAAATATTCTGAGTCTTTTGTATGTCTTTTATTAATTCATTTTGTGTACTATTTCCTGAGGAGTTTTTACTTGTTGAAAGGCTTCTTTTTGCTTTCTCTAAATGTTCGTCCTTGTTCTTAAAAAACTTAGTCTGGGTTTCTACCATATTAGTGTTTAGGAATGACTTGGGAGTGGTAATGGCTCTCTTGATTAGAATAAATGATAGATTCAGAAGGAAAACATTTCTTACTTTGTTTAACATTCCTCCAATTTGGTATCTTTTTAGATAGATTTTGAAGAAACTATAATCCAATTAAAAAATAAAAAGGCACTTGGAATCCTTTTTTTTTTTTTTTTAACATAAACAGTTATTTAGTGGGTTCATTACCAGGATTTGTTTTCTTAACTGTTAAAAAGGAATAAGAAAAAAAAGCAATCAAAGTTTTTCCTTTTGAGTTGGAAAATTAGGTCACAATAGAAATTTGATATTGTTTCTTCCTGCCCACTATTCTGCTCTGAGAATTATTGTAATTAGTATATTAAAAGTACAGATTCATTACCAAAAACAGCTCTATCACCAGATATTTGGTTCTTCAAACCTGAAGTTAAAATCAAATCTCTACTTAGGTTTATTTTTCTGAAGTCTATCAAATATGCAGGTGACAAGAATATTTATGTTTATTCTTTAGCCACGTTCAAACAGTTTTGACCTTCTTCTGTGCAACATCTTTTGTATCTCTAGGCAACAGGAAAGGATAAATTCACAGAGGGAAGAGATAGAAAGACAACGAAAAATGTTAGCAAAGCGGAAACCTCCTGCCATGGGACAGGCCCCTCCAGCAACCAATGAGCAGAAACAGCGGAAAAGCAAGACCAACGGAGCTGAGAATGAAACGTATGTTCTTTATTAATGCAAACTGAGATACCATATTCTCCCCTGAGATACAAACCTCCTGTTGAATGCCACTGGAAGAAGTGATAAATTGTGGAGATTTCTAGAGCTTAATCTTTCTTTTTAGTTACATTAATAGAATTGCTCAACTCATATAAAAGTTGTACACAATTAACTCATTTCTTAGTCCTAATTTTATATGAGAAGTTTCAAATGAGAGGGAGAAAAAAATGTCATTTAACTTGATGTCATGATTTTTGGCCACTCTTAAAACAAATGTGATGTCATTGTCATATTCAAATGATATAATTGCTTATGTGTGCTTCCAGGTTGTGGTATGTTGGTATCACCTTAAGGGAATTATCTGGCTCTATTTCAGACTGAAGAAGGCACAAGTGAAGAATGCTATTTAGTAGTCTGAAGAACACTAGTTACCACTCACAAATTTAGATGTAACCTAAGAAAAAATAGGTATTATTTTAGGAAAAGAACATTTTTCCAGTAAGCCAAATCTTGACATTCCCAGTTGTTGTTTATTTATTTATTTATTTTTTTCTGTTCTGGGAACCTAAGGAAAACACCAGTATCTTCAGTTGCAGTGTAGTCATCTTTTTCACTGCTAGTCAACAAGTATTCCATAGTTACCATGAATAGGAGCAGTAGAATATTTAGAGTACAGATGCCTTCTTTCTTCACTCTCGCCCCATATCAAATTTCCCTAATTGACTTTTGAATTCTTGACCACTAAGAGAATCTTCCGCTAGGACAAGCAGCAGCACACTTTTTCTCCATTGGGCCAGATAGTAAACACTTCAGGCTTTGCACACTAGAGACTCTCTGTTGCCACTCCTCAACTCTACTGTTATGAAAGCATTCATAGGCAGCACGTAAGTAAGAGAATGGGTGTGGCTATCTCCAGAACAGATTACGAGCTGACTGGCTCACAGGTTGTAGTTTGCCAAGTAGGCCGGACTGCTGAACAGTTAGAATTGTCATGGGAAATAAAACCAGCAAATTACTTACCTATTTAAAACATTTCTTATTCATGCTCATCACTGCTGTCTTTAAGAGACTTTCCAATTAAAAGGGAAGAAGAGATCTATAAATGTGTAGAAAATCTCTACAGAATTGATGGTAGCCATAAAGTCAGTTTCTGAATTAGATGTTTGAATATTTGAAATATAAAACATATTTTTCCTAGAAACATTCATTGGTATTATAATCAGTATTTCCTTAGTGGCCACATTGGTTTTTCAAGGGAAAGAGAAATTTTTTAAAGCTGTCATTGTGGGGTTAATGGTAGCTACAAATGAGAGCTAATGATACCATGAAATTTATTGACTAATATGTCTTTTGCCTTTAGTGTTTTCTTGTTAGTTCACAAAAACATATTAACCCATAATCCACTTCAAGTGTAAAAATACTTGGTACCATAGTTAAAAGTGCATGACATCCCAGAAATATATCTTTCTTCATTCCAGTGAGAAAGCTGGTTTAACACCAGCCCTCGCCCAATACATACCTGATACCTTGGGGAGGCTTTTGCTTGACATTCATTTAGTAAGTCTGTGTTAAATGCTTATTATAGGTTCGGCCCTGTTCTGGACACCAGGGTGCAGAGCTGAAGGAGACAGCCCAGCCTTAGGACTCACAGTTTATTTAGGGAAAATGGACAGATGAATAAACTAATAGTTACTTTAAGTGTCGTGATAAAGGTATGCACAGTGATTAAGTTTGGAAAATGTCTTCACATATTTTAAAACTAGATTCTAAGCAATACCCCTTTCAAAAAGTCCAAGTGGGAGACTTTCCTGCTGAACCAGTGACTAAGACTCCATGCTCCCAATGCAGGGGACCCGGGTTTGATCCCTGATCAGGGAACTAGATCCCACATGCTATAACTAAGACTTCTCATGCAAGAACTAAAGATCCCAAATGCTGCAACTAAGACCTGGAGCAGCCAAAAAAAAAAAAAAGTCCAAGTAGCAACCCAGTTTTGAAGAATTCTTTAGGCAAAAATTGTACACATTACTCTGATTATTGTCTTCTTTCATAACTCCTACATTTATTTTGTGAAGGAACTCTCTTTCCAATATTACTTGAAAATTATTTCATGCCAATGAATAAAACCATTGGCAGAAGTAGTAAAGTGGGCACAGTTTTTTTTTTTTTTTTTGCCATCATAATTAGAATTCAGTCTAAGCTAGTAGAGTGAAAGTAAGCAGTTGCCATCTGGAGTCCTGAGTAAAATCCAAGCTGGAAGGCCTTTGGTCTAATCTTTAATAATTAAAGCATCCGTGGCTCATTCCCTTGGCCAGAAGCCAAAAATATTCCTCTTGTGTTGGAATGGATTTTATTATCCTTTCCTGGTACTTAATGTGTTTCAGGTAGAAAGAATTGTAAGCTATGATTTTTCTCATTTCTCCCTTTTTTACTGGTATGATATGGGATAATAGATGTGAGTATTTCTCCAACTATGAAAAGAGAGGTGTGTGAACCCTAATGGGAATATTTCTTGCTATTTTTATCTTCTTTTAGTCAGACCTCAGCAACTTTATTTTGTAGCTCTTCCTGGTTGATAGGATAGCTGTTTCTTCTTTCTCCTGCTATTTAGAATATATCTAAACAGTGACATCTAAAACTTTGAAGTATATGTGTGTGCTTCTAGAATGTGAAGAGGGTGAAGATGGAGGAGTAAGCTATCACTTCTTACATGCTCATTCTTGAGAAATGAGGATGCGATCAGGGTAGGTAGAACATGAAATGATTGCCCATGAAGTCAGCCCTTTGAGAACTGTGTTGAGTAGTATTTCACAAAGTATAGATTCCTTTCATATTCTCGTTGGAACAGTCACAACAGCTTTTTTAGATGGGTGTCATTGCTTGCTGTGTTTTTAGGAAATTGAGGTTAAAGTTGCTTGCCCAAGGTCACATGGTCAGAATTGTGAACCCTAGTCCTCAGACTCCAGATCCTGGACTCTGTCCTTTAGGTTCTTCTCCTTGTATCAAAGTCCAAGAATTATCAAAAATAACCAAATATGTTGGCTTATTAATATCCCCCTTAAAAAACTTGTAGACGTATAATTTGGCTACCTCTTCCAATGGATTTTATCTGAATAAGGTATATGACCAAACTAATTTCAAAAGTAATGTAAAAATAGAGGTCATTTATTTTTCTCATTTTTTTTTTTTTTTATAAATTAGACTTTCAGCTTTGAAGTCCTTTGTTCACATCACATCTGATAAATCCCAGAAGTTTTCTCTTGTCAAAGAACTGTGAGATAATCTATCTTTTGATCATTTTAACTAAGTTAAAATGAATATACTGTATAGTATTCTTTGGCATTTCTCTTTAAATAAGCACATTATGATTTCAAATAATTTACTGAAATTTCTGTCATTATTTTCCAGGTTAACATTAGCAGAATACCATGAACAAGAAGAAATCTTCAAACTCAGATTAGGTCATCTTAAAAAGGTAAGTATAATGAGAAAATGTGTGAAGAAATGCAATTTTTAGTTTACATTTGGTGTTGAAGTTGTTTGGGCATTTGAGCAGATAATAGCTTCACATACCTGTGGAAATCATCAGTAGTTACTTTGTGTCGCACCTGTGTTCTAATGGTGGCGGTCGTGTCTTTTCAACTTGAAAGTCAGCTCCATGCCCCCAATAAGAGTGCCTTTTCCACCAATGATATACCGATACTTCATTCTGTATACCTCATAGGGCCCCACAAGTGATTATCTTTTTAGTAAAAAATAATATAAAGTAAGAGCAGATGGTTCTGAAATTGAAGTTATTGTGATGTAAATCACATAGCAGCTCTTATCTCTTACCTAACTGGCTAAGAAAAGAAGGTGGTGCACCAACCATATTGTAACACAAAGGCACCCACATAGAATTTGTGGTTGACAGTGTTCACAGAGTTATCTTTGATGTAGATCACTTGTCTCTTAAATTCAGCAGCTTATCAGGAAGATGCTTTTTAGTGGGTGCTGCTTATCAGGAAGATGATCAATAAGTATTTAATAGATTCCTCTTAAGATGTGCTTGTCTCTCCCTTGCCCTTCTCAGATCTTGTTAAATCAGTGGAATTTAAAAGCACTAAGTAGAATCGCAGTTATCGAACAGAACCAGTTAGAGAACCTGATTTGTGTTTTTTAAAAAAAGAAAAAAAGATTGCATGCCTGTATGTATACATACAAAACATTTCTGGAAACTTACACAAGGAACTTAACAGTGATTGTATCTGGGGAGTGGCCATGAAGAGGGCGGAAGCTTTTCACTTTTCCTGCTGTTCTTCTCTGTATGGTTTGAGTTTTATTTATTATTTTGCTGTAGGATCATTTTTATGATTAAAATTCCAGTTCTTAAAAAAATCTTTTTCAATGCAAAACATCTCAGCTTTTCATAAGAAGGATGTCTGCTTTTGTTTTTGAAATGAGAGTCTAAAAAGGTAAAGTTTCCTGTGTTCTAAACTGTTTCTTTCCTTTTCACTTTAGGAGGAAGCAGAGATCCAGGCAGAGCTGGAAAGGCTAGAAAGGGTTAGAAATCTACATATCAGGGAACTAAAAAGGATACATAATGAAGATAATTCACAGTAAGCAACTTGGGGGTATGTTGGGTTGGAGATTGCTGAATACTTTCTGACATGAATTGCCCAGAATATTTTTGCTTATTGTAAATTTGGTGAACCATTCCATGGTGTATTTAACTCTGTTGTAGGTGTAATAATACATTTTATGAACAAAATTATGATTTGCACTGGTTTAAATACATATAAATATATTAGGTTTATATGTTAAGTATATATTTATACATACAGCAATCTTACGCACAGAGAGGTCATTAAAGCAATGTAACTTTGCAGTCGCAAATGGTTTAGGTACATTGTGTACTCAGATTTACCCTCCTAGCCTTACTGAAGAGGGAAGCATTAGGGTGACAGTGGGGTGGGGTGGAAAGACTGTTGGGTTGAAAAATGACACTCAGTTTCTTAATGACCTTTATAGGTCATTAAAGTGTTGAGATTTTTAAGAAAGACTCAAGTTCAATACATTAATTGTAGATAAATGCTCGTCTTTGTAAGCCATTTAAGGAATTAAAACTGTGAAAAGTAGATTGTAAGTGACAAGTGGCTTCTAACCATAATCCTTTTATTTGCCCCACATTCTTCTAATTCTGAAACATGGAGGTTTTGGCATAACTACAGCTTGTATATTTTTGTTTGGCCAGAGTGAGCCATGGACTTGACTTTCTGGAAGTGGCAGCAACAGTAGCTACCATTACTGTGCACTTTCTGTGTTAGGCAGAGTGCTGAGTGCCCCTGTGTTCTGTCAGTTAGTTGTCACAGTAGCCCATTGCAGTAGGTCATTTTCAACAGATAGATCTGGAAAATGGCTTACAGAAATTAACTTGTCTAGGGACTAGTGTGACCAAACAAAGAGTTGAGATGTGGCTCTGACTCCACAGTAAGACCCCATGCAGTGATGTCACCTCTCTACACAGGCGTGCCACTGTCTCAAAATCAAAATAAAGTACTTTCAGAATTATTAGGGCTGATGAGGAACTAGGTAGAAACACCTAAAAGTTATTTTTGCCAGAATCTCTCATTTCTTTATCTTATTGCTAGAAAATGATACAAGATGGAATCCTCTATGGGGAAAACAGTTATATCATGAAGATGTAAAGAGAGAAAATGAATGCACATAGAACATGTGACTCACTTTATAATGAGATCTGTTTTTAAGGCCACGTAAACGATCTTGGGATTTTATTGTATGTTTCTGAATGGAGGGAACGTGTGGTTCTTGGAGGACCCCGGCAGCACAGTTTGGAAATCCCTGGCCCAGTGCACAGCCCTGCACCCCCTGGTTGATGGCAGAGCAGAAAGAGAAGGAAGCCGCCGAGGGCCCCCAGTCTAACTGTGGCTGTGCTGCAGCTGGCACCTGGCGCTCATGACTCCACGGCTAGTGTCCTTCATCATAGTTACGCCATCTCGTTGAACCATAGAGTTTTTCCTGTGCTCAGAATTAGCTATATTGTGATGATTGCCAAACTGTTGGCAGCATCTGTAATTGTATGTATAACACGTCAGACATTCTGGAAATTTCACAAACATGGAAAATTGTGTAGTCCTTGACCTCCGGATGTTGTTGTTTTATATTCTGTTTCCACAGATTTAAAGATCATCCAACGCTAAATGACAGATATTTGTTGTTACATCTTTTGGGTAGAGGAGGTTTCAGTGAAGTTTACAAGGTAAGTATGAGGAACTGGATATAGAGACTGAGAGTTAAGTTATTGGTTATTACAAACTTAGAAAACATTTAAAATAGTGATAGAATTGTGACTGATATTTACTGGCCAAAATTCCAAACTGTTAAGAACCTGTGTATCGAAATGACCCCTTGGAGAAGCGATGGCAACCCATTCCAATATTCTTGTCTGGGAAATCCCAAGCACAGAGGAGCCTGGTGGGCTATGGTCCACGCGGTCGCAAAAGAGTCAGACACAGCTTAGAGTCTAAACAACAACAATCTTTGGGAGAACTGCTTCTCGTAAACTTGTGACTAAGCAGGAGTCAATATTTTACCCTGTTTATCAAGTTTGAAGAGTAATTACAGATTAAAAAAAAACAAATAGAGAAAATAGCACCATTTCTGGATAATGGAATAGTGGTGATTTTTATTCTAGTTTTGTGCTTTCTGCCTCATCTGTATTTGTTAGAGATGAGTGCTATCTTTATTCTAATAAGATTTATATATGTGTGTGTGTGTGTGTGTATGTGTATATATATATATATATATATATATAAAATGTTTAATGTTAATTCTTTGAAAACCTGTTTTTTGCTTTTAAAGTGTTGGCATCTTCCACGTCAGAATGTTTAGTAACACTGGTTTTGCTGAAGGGTTGTCCTGGCTTAGAGTGCTTCACTTGGCCCAGCAGAGTCCAGACTCCTGTGCCCCCCAGTTGGTTTTCCGTGAATGAGAGATTCTGCCTGTCTTAAATACAGCTATAGATATATAATACGCTCACCAGCCACAGCCTCCTTGAATTTCTCTGTTTCTGGCACCTGGCATTTAAATGCCCAATTAGTTTATTAATTGGTCTTTACTGCATGACCCTAGTAATTCTGTCTTTTCTAAGTTGTAGCCTATACTGTTAATGATTTATGTTATGCCCATATGAATTTTTAGGGAAAAGTTTTCAATTGGCAATAATCGCGCCTCGGATAAACCTCATTGGCTACGATACTGCCACTGCGCAAAGCTCCATATGAATTTTTATATAGAAAATCTTTTTGAGTAAAATACTTCTTACTTCAGATAAAAGCATTAGTTTTTCTTTTTTTCTCTTTTTTAATGTTAATTTTTTACTGTGGTGATGTATACATGACACCTACCATTTTAACCATTTTTAAGTATACAATTCAGTGGCATTATGTATACAATGTTGTGAAAGTATCATCACTTCCCATTTTCAGAATTATGATAATATTTTTAGTGTACTGCTGGGTTTAATTTTTTAGTATTTTGCTCATATTTTTAATCTATGATCATAAGTGGTATTGGCTTACAGTTGTTTTTTTATGTGCAGGCAGCATTGTCTAGCTTTGATGTCATAGTTATTCCAGAAGGAGTTGTGAAATTTCTTTTTTCCCATGTTCTGGAATGCTTTGCATTACTTGTTGGCTATGTGGAAGTTGTTAGTGCTAAATCATAAAATCAGCTGTGTGGTTGTCATTTTAGAGGAAAAATAGCCTTTTCAGTTTCTTCTACAAATATTGACCTATTCAGACTTTCTTCCCATTCGTTTTTTTTTTTTTTTTTTTAGTATATGTGCTGCTGAAGCGAACTTTCTTCCCATTCTTAAGTCAGTTTTGATAATTCATTTTTTCTGGAGAATCATCCTATTTCTTCTTGATTTCCATACTTTATAAGTTATTTCTCTTATGAAATGTTTATTTTTGTATCTCGTGATTAATAGGCCAGAAGTTGGTTAGTGTTTTTTTTTCCCTCTGGAGATTAACTTTTTATTTTTGTTAATCAGATCTACTATTTGATTTGTTTTATTTTGTTTTCATTGACTTTTGCTTTCAAACCTTCCTTCTGTTTAGTTTTCATTCTTGAGTCATATACTTAGTTTATTATTGGGATAATTTAAAAATTGTGATAAAAACACATAGCATAAAAATTACTAACTTAACCTTTTTTAAGTGTTCAGTTGTTGCTGTTCAGTCACTCAGTCATGTCCAACTCTTTGTGACCCTATGGATTGCAGCACGCCAGGCTTCCTTTTCCTTCACTATCTCTGGGAGTTTGCTCAAACTCATATCCATTGAGTTGATGATGTCATCCAACCATCTCATCTTTCATTGTCCTCTTCTCCTGCCTTCAGTCTTTTCCAGCATCAGGGTCTTTTCCAATGAGTCAGCTCTTTGCATCAGGTGGCCAAAGTATTGGAGCTTCAGCATCAGTCCTTCCAGTGAATATTCAGGGTTGATTTCCTTTAGGATTGACTAGTTTGGATTCCTTGCTGTCCATGAGGCCCTCAAGAGTCTTCTCAGTTCAGTAGTGTTAGATATATTCATGTTGTTCTGAAACAGATCTTCAGAACTTTTTCATCTTGCAGAACAGGAACTGTATGCACTAATCAGCAGCTGTCCTTTTCCTTCTCTCTCCAGCTGCCTGTAACCACAATTCTACTTTATATTTTTATTAATTTGATTATTTTTCAGTAGCTCATGTGAGGAATCACACAGTGTTTGTCTTTTTGTGACTGGTTTATTTCATTTACCATAATGTCCTCAAAGTTCATCCATCTTGAAGCATGTGACAAGGTTTTCTTCTTTTTAAACTTGGATAACCCCGAGATTGTATATATATACTTCATTTTCTGTATCCATTCGTCTGTCAGTTGACATTGGCATTGCTTCCTTCTCTTATCTGTTGCGAATAGTGCTGCTTTGAGTACACATGTGCAGATATCTCTTTGCGATCTTGCTTTCAGTTCTTCTGGCTGTATACCCAGAAGTGGGACTATTTCTTTTTTAAAACCATCAAAATTGGTTCTTGGTGCTTCACTTGTTAGTGATTTCTTCATATTTTTTCCTATTCTTCAAACATTTTAACACTTCTGAAATCTAAATACGTCTTACAACAATATGTACATTAATGTATTCTTTTGCTGTTTTCCATATAGCCCTTCTTAGATCATTGGTGAATCACAGTGTTTTCAACTCAGAAATAGGTTTTGATAATAGGAAAAAAATGACACTTGTAGTTCATTAGTGCTCTTACAAATTAGGTGATATTTACTCTGGCTTTTAATGGCTTGATATGGTTCTCTCCTATAAAGCCATGATGGATACATGCATACAGGTAGACTTTAGATTCTGTAGGAAAAATAGAGTTGAAAAGTTTGCATTTCTGTTTGAATTGAATGGTTTTTGTATTTTAAAAATACTGGTTTAAATTTGGTATATATTAGAAGTTTCTTTTATAAGCAGGCCTCTCTTGTATCCTGTGCTTTCCTAGAGGTAGCTTGTCTTTTAAAAGACCTGTAGGACAGTAATCACCACTCTTCATGGCCTGTGTAACCTCTGCCTGTTGTCTTCATCTGTTCATACTTTTGTGGAAACTGGCAGATAGGTGGTAATAACATTGGAACTGAAACAGTAAGTTTTTAATTTGGACTTTAAAGCCAAATTCATTCTAAAAAAGTTCCTCAAAAAATTGTATTGGGGAATTCTGTTGTAAAATGCTACTTACTTTTTCAAATTATGATGTACACCAGGCATCCTTGAAAATCTGTTACCTTTTTTTACCCCACAATCTAGCACTACTGAGCTGATCTGGAACTTGTACCAACAGTGGTGGCCTTTGGGGAAAGCATGTCCCTTTTTTTGGATGGTGCTGGATAAGTGACTAGCTTCTGACATTGTTGAGATCGAAAATTACTTTTTAGTTATCCAGTATGTAGGGGTGCAGCTAAACAAACTTAGCAAAGAGGTGTGTCCTGTTTCTTAAGGAAGCAGATAGTCTATGTCCATAGTGTTTCAAAAGTGGCAGGACCTCTAAACCTAAAACTGCTCTAAAAATAAAACCTATTAAAAAATATTTACAAAAAGGAAAAAAAAAGTGGCAGGACTTACTGTTGAAGATTGTCAAGTCCCAGAACCAGCTGAGGAACAAGAGCCAAGAGGGGAGAAAGGTCCCAAATACGGTAGATGATATCCAGAAAGAGAGTTGTTTAGAAGTGACTGTTAAGGCATGGACTGTCTTTCTGTTTGTGGCATATGTTAGGTTTTATTTTCTAAATCCCTTGGTGCCAGTGTGTCTGGAGACTTCTCGATTGTCTCATAACAAGCTTCAAGAAAGATGATTACAACTCTGAAGGAAGTGTGCTGTCCACTGCTCGTTATTTAATAATGCATTTTGGACTTTTGAGTATGTTGGTCTGTTAAGCAGAAGTTTCTGGTCAGTTACCTGTAATTCTTGTTAGCATTATCCACAATATAACTTATTCCTTTTCTTTATAGGCATTTGATCTAACAGAACAAAGATACGTAGCTGTGAAAATTCACCAGTTAAATAAAAACTGGAGAGATGAGAAAAAGGAGAATTACCACAAGTAAGTGATACTAGAGTATCTGATTTTTCAAAATTTAGTAATAATAGCTGTAGTTTGAGCACTGTGTTAAGAGCTTTACATGCATTGCTGTTGTTTCATTTAATCCTCATAATTGCCCTTGGAGGGTAAATAAATCTTCCATCTTACTGTTAAGGAAATTGATACTTAGAGAATTGAGTAACAGCTAAGAAATGGCTGAGCCTGTATTTAAATCCAGACTTCCCTTAATCCAGGCCCATGTGTTTAACCCTCCCCTTCCATTGTTCATCTAAAAGTAGCTATAATAAACAAGTCAAGCCTCATAAATTATTGTTGCTTGTCTGTAGAAAATGTGAGAGTGTTCTGTAGTGGTCTAGAGATCCTAGGGAGCATGAGGTGGGGCTTTTTTGCTGCTTTAGTCATCTCATCACGGAGGAGACCATGCGGCACCTGCTGCCCCTCAGTATTTGGTCCTCAGTGCTGGACCCTCCTCCCCCATCACAGGCTTCCTGTCTCAGAGTTCTTGTCTTCAGTTTCCCACTTGCTGTGCTGGCCACCTTCTAGATGCCATTGTGGCAGCCCTCATCTGTACTTGGGGTGCAGGATGGGAGGGTGACTCTTTAGAATGAACAGTTTTTACATGTGCAGGTGTGAATGTCTTTCTTTCACTAATGTCAGGTCTTGCCTGTTTCTGCCCTGAGCTTCAGAACATTGAAGTTACAGCTCACTTGCTTTGGAGGCCACTCAGACTTTGCTGTTAGGATCTCCCCTGGCCGTAATATTGTTTCCTTTTTGTAGGAACAAGTACTGTGTTAGACATATCCTACCCCTAAAAGGAGAGACAGCCCCTTTTGATATAAAGCAGTCTACCTCCCTTCTATAAAAGCACTTTTGTTTTCTCTTATAAATAGTACTCTGGAGGGAAAAAGGCAGTGGACTTTGAAGAGCCTTTTAGGTGGCTTCTAAATCTCAGTGGAAAAATAAAACATTTCTACATCATTAACCCATTCTTGAGGCTTAGGGCAAGGCGACTCCTGCCTTATGGCTACTGTTCCTTAGGGACCCAGGAACTCTCGCTGCTCTGTGCAGGCTGGCAGTGGTGCTCAGCACGGGAGGAGAGAAGGTCCTGAGGCGTAAGGAGCGAGAGCGCTTAGCAGAGGTGGGAAACAGGATGCCGTGTGCTCTGTGCGTGGCACTCTGCCTGTGGCCGTGTGTGTCAGGCGGCTGCAGTCCAGATGCTTCTGAGGAGCAGTTACATTATTACAAGTACATTCTAGGCACTCGACAGGCAGGAACAAATGACATGCGGCTGCAGTTGCCAGGGAGCACTTAAAAGAAGACACCCACATGTTCTGACGAGTTAGGAAAATGGTGAGAAATGTCCGCATCATATTGAGACTCAAAGAGTACCTGAGGGTATAGGAACAGTACCTCCATCTCTTTCACAGTGTCCTTCGGCTATCCTTGGAGCCTGTTCTGCAGCTGTGTGCGCTGCCGACTCTAAACCAGCTGACTACAAGGGATGGACCTTGGTGAACCTTGAGGAGATAGTTCCTCTGCAGAGATTTATACAGACTTTGCCTCGTCTCCGTGTCCAGCTTTCAGGCTGAGTTTAAAGAGAACTCAGGGGTCGAAGACTGTGGTGACTGCCCCTGGGGGTTGTGCTCACCATAGCCTTTTGAAGCAGTGAGGGAGAGACACCAGGACCTCCTTGACACGCTTGTCAAGCTATTGGAGTCCTGGTGGGTGTGGATGGGGTCTCCTTTCCCCTTTGTCTGCCAGATGGAGTCACAGAGCAAGTGAAGGGGGTAGTCTCGTGTCTGAGTTCTCAGAGGTTCAGCTCCAGCTCACAGTGCTGCCTTCCTATTCTTTGCTTCCTCACCGCGGCAGGAATCACGACTCCTGAGCACCTTCTGTGGAGCCATCTGGGCAGGAGCCATTTCCCAGTTGATAGACACACTGGTGGAAGGGCGGGTGGTGCAAATGTTTTGTGACCTCCATTCATCCTTGTGGGAAAATTCTTACAACACTTCCACCTTTCTTGGAAAGATTTTGCTTGCTAAGTGATAATAAATCATACAGAGGAATTTTATGCTATAAATGATAGTGAATTAGCAATATGGCATTAACCCCCTTGAACTGAAATTAAGGAGACATATCAGGCACTGAACAGATTTTAGAGAGTGCTTCAAAAATTCAGTGTGTAACTGAAAAGGAGTACATTTCAGTGTTGTGGTCACATTATAAAATATGAAAATACTGCTGTTACCTGCGTATAGTAAGATCTTCTGCCTGCTTTTTCCTTCATGGGGATGACTTCCCAGCCCCATCTGGAATCAGAACATGTATTTGGGTGAAAAAGAAAGAAAAATTCAAAGAAAATAAAAGGCTGTTGTATTGTTTATTTTTGAGTTCTATTTTGCACCCCCTTTCCTCTCCTTTCTCTGCAAAGTGATAGAAGTAAGCTGATTGTTTTACTTTTGCATTATTAAGCATTAATAGACATTACTTGATTTCTTTAACCTCTCAAAATAGATATTAAGAAATTTATGGTAGGAAAAATTTCATATAAAGCTATCCACAGAAATAACTGTATCTATACTCTTGTATGATACTCTTTTCTAATTTTCTAGGATATAATTACTGAAAGTCTAAATATATATCTACTTATAAGACAGTAGAAGACTAAGTGGATCAGTTTCTTACTTGTTTCCTTATTTATAGGGCATTAGTCCCTTGGATGTTTAGTTGAAGTTTGAACATATGAAGGATGTAAGAATATAAGGAGAACCTCTGCCTTGCCTGGTGAACTGTAGCAAATGGCCTTAGAGCCGGACGTGATGTTGAGGGGGGTCTTTTCGTGACACACAGAAAGTTTCCTTAGTTGGCAAGGACTTGTGACACTCTTTAATTTATAATTTTTTCTTCCTTTATTTTCCTCAGTTTTTTATAACCTCCATGGAGAAATTGGTCTCTACTCTGAAATGCACAAAACATAAAGTTAAAAGGGCAGAGAACGATAGATTTCTAGTGTGTGAGAATAAGAAATGACAGTAATCTTAACAGTAATCTGTTTAGATCATAGGTTTCTGAACTTGTTTTTTTAGACACTGTACCACCTTTATTTTACCAAATGAAATGAGGTATTGCATGATTTTTTTTTTTTTTTTTTTGGTACATGCTGTGAGGCATGTGGGATCTTAGTTCCCCACCAGGGATCAAACCTGCTTACCCTGCATTGGAAGCTTGGTGCTGCTCCAACTCAGTGCTGACAAGTTTGTTTTTTTTTTTTCAGAAAGACATAAAGATTCTGATGAGAACTTCCCTGGTGGTCCAGTGGTTAAGAATCTGCCTGCCAGTGCAGGGGACATGGGTTTGATCCCTGGTCCTGGAAGATTCCACATGCCACAGGGCAGCTAATAAGCCTGTGCATCAAAACTACTAAACCCACGTTCTAGAGTCCATGTTCTGCAACGAGAAGCCACTGCAACTAGAGAGGAGCCCCCACTCACCACAGCTAGAGAAAGCCTGTGCACAGCAACAGAGACTCAGTCCAGCCAAAAATTCTTTACAAATTAAAAAAATGCTGATGAAACAAAGCATCAGAAGAAGCCAAACTGCCCAAAATAGCCACTTGAAAAATAAACCTAATCAAACAGACGTTTTCTTTGGGGAAGAACATTTAATCACTTTTAGATTCCTATTCTTCCCCTCCCTCTTCCCCTAGTTGTTCCTCAGTTTTTCTTTGATTGAGTACTTTCTATGTATTTTTGACATGCTAGAATACATTTCAGAAAGCATTACTTTTTGGGGGTTTTATTTTATCATACTTTGGAATGTTTTCCTTTTTTGACTCTTAGAACAAAATGCCCCAAACTAAATGGGGCTAGATTACTTAAAATATAATAACCTAAAATATATATATAATAATATCCTATTACTCTTATTAAGTAAGAACCACATTTTATTCTTTAAAATTCAGTATATGAATACATCAGATTATATAGTACATTTTTCTTCCTATCTTACTAAAGAAAAAAAACATATGTATGAAAAAAATCTCTTATTCTAAGAAAATTAAAGTTCCCATAGTTTCAAACTTTTTATCAAATTAGCATTTTCTTAGAAAGTAATGCTAATAGTCCTTTAAATTCTTTTTTGTAAAGAGGATTGAAAAACAAATCCAGTGCATTTGTAATTGCCTTATTTTACCAGCAGTCCTTTTACTCAGTGAGTTTACATGCCAAAATTGATCCCTGTGATGGAACCCCAGGGTATAAACATTTGTAAACAGAAAGTATCAGCTTCAGAGAAAAGAAAAAAAGTGCTGTCTTTATCATTTTTAAACCTCTGCTCTTTGGGTATCAATATAAAAGAGGTAAGGTTATCACAGAATGAACTTGCAAAGGATAAAAGTTAGTGCCTACTGTTTTTCCAACAGCTTGGCAGAGACCTGTGGAGAAAACAGGGTGAAGAAAGACGAGAGGACTAAATGGACTTGAATGGAGTGAATGTGCAGGATCAGTGAAGTGTGAGAGTAAATTAGGAGGATCCTGGAAAAGTTCTGAAAGACAGGCCAAAATACAAAATGTTAATTTCCTTTTTTTCACAGGCATGCATGTAGGGAATACCGGATTCACAAAGAACTGGATCATCCCAGAATAGTTAAGCTGTATGATTACTTTTCACTGGACACTGACTCGTAAGTACTATACTGTTTCTAGCTTAGCAGAGAATATTATTTTCTTGCAGCGTGATGACTCATGGAATGGAATTTAAATCTGGGTCCAGAAAATACTGTCTGAGGGGGCCAAATGTATTTTTGAGCAAATGATTGTATTTGAATTCAGATTGGGGCCAGCAAGATATAAACATTTCTTGGCCACAGGATGGGTGCAGTTGTGTGCTGGTCAGTGTTTAACAACCAGCATGGAGGAGAGAGGCATAGGGCTGATGTGTACTGTTTGCCAGTTTCTGTGGAACAATACTCTGAACATGTCCAATTTTTTTAAAAAGGGGGGGCAGCTTTATTGAGATAGGTTTATATACCATACGGTTCACTCATTTAAAAGTACACAGTATTCATAGGTATATTGCGGCCATGACTAGTCAGTTTTAGAACGTTTTCTCTGCCTCAGAAAGAATCCTGTACCTTATTGTATTGTCCCCCTTTTCCTCCACTCTGCTCCTGCTGTAAGCAACCGCCTATCTGCTTTTTGTGTCTATAGATTAGCTATTCTGGGACTTTCATCGGATGGATCATGTAGTGTGTAAACTTTTGTGGCTAGCTTCTTTCACTTAGCATGGTGTTCTTTTAAGGTTCTTCTTATGTCATTTATCAGTACTTCTTTCTGTTTTATGACTAAATATATTCTACTGCCTGGAAATACTACCTTTTGTTTATCCATTTATCCTACCAGTGGCTTAAAAACTAGCTCACAAGATTTCTGAGAATTTTAACTCTCAGCTTTCAGAAACTGGTACAAATTGGTGCTGGCCTACCACAGACAAGCAACAGTCAGTGAGGCTGATGAACACTGATGGGCCTTTCGAAGTTCTAGCAGTATGACTTCATCATAGAATTAGAATGAAATGTGGCAGAGCCTAATGCTACATCTGAAAATACAGGTTGGTTCAGAGGCTTATAGGGATTTCAGTCCAGCCTTTTCACTTTGTAGGTGGAGATTGAGGACCAGAGAAGTTACATGACTTATCTGAGATCTTTAATAATCGTAGGCATTATTGTATTTCATTACTTGGTATAGGTAAGCTCTCGATCTCTTGGTTTATCCAGGAGTTTAGAAATAGTTCCGTATTTGGAAACATCTCTGTTGGAGTCTGAACTGAATCAGGAAAGCATGCTTAGGCCTGGCCCGCAGGGGTTTCCTTCCACCTCCCAGAGTGTTCGGCCTCTTCCAGATGGCAGCTGTCTCAGAGCTTGCTGTGTGAGAGCCCATCCATGTTTAGAAATGGCCCCAAAGGGAGACCATAATCCCCTTTGGAAGCATCCACTCAGGGATTTCCCCTTTCCAGTCAAGTGTAGTCAGCACAGTGCTGTGTGTGGTGTTGAGTGGGATTCAGAAAAACAGTGAGTTAAAAAGCAGGTTTCCACAGGGTGGCTTTATTGTTTTGCTTTCAACAAGTTCCTTGAATACTAGGAAGGACACACATACCCCCCAAATATAAGCACAAAAGCCATTTCAAAAGTAAATGCCGTGACTTGGATTACCTGCTGTTTTGAGTTGCATACACTTCTAACTGACCTGAGACGCTGAGTTGACTTTGCACTACTCTCGCGCTGTTTGCTTTGTCCTTCCTGTTGTGTGTATGGTGAATTTTTCCCCAAAATAAGTCAAATCATTGTTTTAGAAAGGTTTCTAAGAGTTGAGTATTAAAAATGAGATTTTATTTTCAGCTTGCATTGGGTCCAAAATAAATTCACTAAGCCTGAGAGTCTATGCCTCAGATTTCAGCATATCAGATCAGAGAAATCTATACATTTTAGGCCTATTTTCTCAAATAGGATGCTAGCATGTTGAGACATGCTATGTTTTGTAAGAAGCATGAGCCATTGGTCAGTTTGGGGGTCCCTTGGGACTATGTGTGTGTCCACATTTTGTTGCTTTGCTGCCTGAAGGTCTTCAGTGGCCCACAGGCCCTGAGTGTGAGTCCTGCGTCTGTTTGATCGTAGATGAGTTGGCCCTTGTAGGCTGTGTTCACTGGCCTCCTTTGTCAGTTGTTCAATGGGATTCATTCAGTGGAGAGACAGAGGTGGTGGTGGGTGGAGACTCCTCCCCCGATGGTCCCAGGTTCCCTTGGTGACCCTGGTTCTGATTGCACCATCTCCACCCTCTGGCCTTAGGGTGCTAATGACTTCCTGCTCTAGATGATTTCTAGGGTGCTCACTGGCCACTTTGTCTTCTCAGCTCTTCCGTCATCTGTGTGATCAGTTCTCTGAATTAAAGCCTCTCCGTTTTAAATACTCCAGCAATTTTCATTTCCCAGCAAGACCCTGAGTGATTTAGCCACATTGTCACAGCTTAGAATAGTTTAAATGGTATTCCTCTCTCAGGAAGCCTTACTTCAGTTTATGACTGCCTTGGAAGACAGACACATGACCCTTCATACCATGAATGCTGTGTAGTTTTAGATTTGGATCTGTGTGACATACTGGTATAAGTGAAAGAAAAAAACTCATACTATATAATGATACATTTGTTAGAACTACAGATACTGTCCTTTAAAAAGCTCTTTTATACCTTGTGTATTTAGCAAAGAAAAATCATAGTATGTGCAGTCTGCTAGGAGCAGTAGTATGCAGTCAGCCTTGGGGACCTGGGCAAACCCTTGATTCTTCTTTATTGTCACCACCCAGGGTGATATAAAATGTTTGCAGTGAGGATTGTGTATTTGATCATAACGTACTTGTTTAGAAATGGAGCATCCTGTGGATTGTAGAGTAAGTGTCTAGCCTAAATATATGACAGTTCCTGTCAGTATTCCTAAAGTCTGATTCAAGAAGCGGTGTGCCCTGGGTGAACTTTAGCAGAGCAGGTTCCAACGTGAAGAGTGCAGACATTCTTCACTAAGAGAGTTGGCAGTTTACTTCCTGTAAACTGCTAATACTAAATAAAGAATGCTGCTGCTGCTAAGTCGCTTCAGTCATGTCCAACTCTGTATGACCCCATAGACGGCAGCCCACCAGGCTCTGCAGTCCCTGGGATTCTCCAGGCAAGAATACTGGAGTGGGTTGCCATTTCCTTCTCCAATGCATGAAAGTGGAAAGTGAAAGTGAAGTCGCTCAGTTGTGTCCGACTCTTTGTGATCCCATGGACTGCAGCCTACCAGGCTCCTCCATCCATGGGATTTTCCAGGCAAGAGTACTGGAGTGGGTTGCCATTGCCTTATCTGGAATAAAGAATAGAAGAGTATTTTAAAGAGCAAAGAAGAAGGAAGTGAGAAGCTATCTACCTCAGTGGTCCACAGCCTTTTTGGATCCAGGGACCGATCGTGTATGTGGAAGACAGTTTTTCCACAGACAGGGCAGGGAGTGGGGGCAGTCATTACATCCCAAATGACTTTGGGATGATTCAAGCACATTACATTTATTATGCACTTTATTTCTATTTTTATCACAGCAGCTCCACCTCAGATCATCAGCATTAGATCCCAGAGGTTGGGGACCCCTGAATTACCTGATGGTTTCACTGGGGCTTTAGTTAGACTTAATTGCTTTTTTTTAGTTGGAATTAATTGCTTAATTGCTTGCTTTTATCCCACAATCAAGTGTTGGTTTATTTGTCTTTAGGTTTTGTACAGTACTAGAATACTGTGAGGGAAATGATCTGGACTTCTACCTGAAACAGCACAAATTAATGTCAGAGAAAGAAGCCCGATCCATTATCATGCAGATTGTGAATGCTTTAAAGTACTTAAATGAAATAAAACCTCCTATCATACACTATGACCTCAAACCAGGTATGTCTAATTTTTAGGAGACAGTATTGGTGGTATTTCTTTGGTCTTATAAGTAACTTTCAATTTTATAAAGTTATGGCGGGGACCAAAAAGGCCTAATAAAATCTGACTCTAAATTGCCTGGGTAGGTGTGGGAATAAAAGAGTCCTGGCCACACAGCACGGGATCTAGGAGGTTGGGTCGTATTCAGTGCTCTGGAGAAACAATACCCTTGTCTTTAGAGCCAGGGCAGTTCATGATATCAGTCCAGTTAAGAAAGAACTGCTCTGGCAAGCTTGGTTTTGTTTTTCCCATTACTCACACTAGACAGCAGTCCTTCTACCCCAAGTCTCTTTGATAAGTGCCCTCACATTAGCAAATTATTTTCCACGTATGCCCCCCATTTCATTAAATTCTGAGCAGAGTTTTCCATCTTTTTGTATGGTTACTGTCTAACTTTGATTGTTGTTGGCAGGGGAGAGAACAGTTTGACTTGTATCTGTTGTCATCCTCAGCCATTGCTGAGCAGTCTGCCTGTGTGCTCTTTAGACAGCTCTGTCCTGCTGAGCTTAGGTGTTGGGAAGAGTCCCCTTTACCTCCTGGTGGGGACAGTTAACTTTGCCATCCTCTTGTGATATTGCCATCCTCTTCTGATAGCTACATATTAAGTCTCACTATTCTTTAATGACCAAAGTGAAAGTGAAAGTCAGTCATGTCTGACTCTTTTGCCACCCCATGGACTGTACAGTCCATGGAATTCTTCAGGCCAGAATACTGGAGGGGGTAGCCTTTCCCTTCTCCAGGGGATTTTCCCAACTCAGGAATCGAACGCAGGTCTCCCTTATTGCAGGTAGATTCTTTACCAGCTAAGTCACAAGGGAAGCCCCTTTAATGACTAAATAAATGACTAAAGGAAATGATTTTTTAAAAGATGGCTACTGTGTGATTGGGTTTTCTATGACTGAATCTATTACGTTTTCCTGCCCCAGGAGCTGTAGGTGGCACTGTGGCACTAACTTAGACTCCCCTGTATGTTTTCTTTGATTCCACACCACCCTCCCCAAACTACCGTTCCAAACAGGGCGGTTTAGAGATCCTTACTGAAAGTTCAGATGAAAGTTTCCCACTATTTTTGACCAACCATACAAATGATATTTTACTTTGGCTAGTTAATTATTTTTTTCCACTGCTCACCGTGCTGGTTTTGGCACATTAAGCAGGTGATTCTTGGAAAAGAGAAATTTGCAGCCAGACACTTATGACTCTCCTCTAGCATCCAGAGCCCAGATTGTTTTATTCCAGAGATTTAAATGTTTGCTATTATGTGTAAGAGTTGGAGTCCAGTTGTCCTCTTCTTGTCTGTTATTATTACCTTGGCTTTTCCTAGTAAGTCTCTTTTTTATTCATGAAGATTTTTATCTTTTTAGGTAATATTCTTTTAGTAAATGGTACAGCGTGTGGAGAGATAAAAATCACAGATTTTGGTCTTTCCAAGATAATGGATGATGATAGCTACAATTCAGTGGATGGCATGGAGCTAACATCACAAGGTGCTGGTACTTACTGGTAGGTATCTGAGAGATCTGTCCTGTTGGCTGGAGATGTGACTGTGTTATGCTGAAGTGTTGGTGATTGTTCATTAGACTACATTCTGTCTGCTTAGGCAGAAATGCTGTATACCATAGTAGACTTTCCTCTCCAAATATTTGCTGTCTTGTCAGCGGTTTGACTCTTTGTATTTACATGAATTTGTCTTAATTTTTCTTTTTATTCTTAAAAACCATTGAGAGAGGGATTATGCATGACCAGGCGTTTTGAGTTGTGTGTTTGCTCTGTAGGTAGGCCCTACTGAGTACATAGAGAATGAGGTTACTCATGTGTATGTAAAGAATGGCCCTCACTTCCTTTCAGAATTTCAAATGCAGGTCTCTCTCTTCCTGAGTTGATGGGATGAGGAAGTTTTTTCTATAGTTGCCTGAAGATGGTGGACTGAAGAACCCAGGAGTTATGAAGATTAGGATGTAAAATAAGCACAGCATCCCTTGAAATCTAAACAGGAAAAAGTGAGCATGGTTTGCCAAGAATTGTATCCATTTCTGGCAGCCATGTTCCGAAAGGTTTTGAGCCACATTTCTTCCCATCTGTCCTCACTCGTCCACCCCCAGCCACTACCCAGCTGGCGCTGCCTGCTTGTTCTGCACCCTGTCTTACTCTGTCTCGTACTCCTTTTGACAGTGAGCACCATAAAAGATACCTGCGGCTCAGGCATTTGACTTTGTGATTGTAAAGGTGTTAACAGAACTTGCTTTTTACTTCTGAGGTCGTAACACAAAGCCACACACTGGAGTGTTTGATTCTGAATGTGGAGAAGCCTCTTGTAGCATTAAGGGAGGGGAGATGCATGCAGTTAAAATCCCAAGGTCAGTTGGCCAGATCACTGATGTTTGAGACTGGAGGACCCTAGCCCTTAGCCAGTTAGTGACTGTCTGGGAATGAGGGTGTTGATGGGAAGCAGACAGAGAAGAGGGGGACATCAGCCCTGTTCTCATCACCCCCACCACATTGAAGAATTGATCATGTCCTGCTAAAAGCACCATGTACATACAATTTCAACTTTCCCTTGTTCCTTATTGTTTGTGGAGATGGTACCTATAGTGAAAATCAGTCCCTAAATTAAAACTTTGAGATTCTAGGTTTAAAATAGAAGCTACACTTACAGTGTTTATTCACTTGGTGGTTTTTGTGGGTTCCTGTCAGTAAATGATACAAAAATATCTGCTGTTGGAAATTCTGGAAGCAGGTCTATACCTCTGCTTTATAAATTCACCAGAACTTGGATTTGAGCTTTTCATTTGATAGCTTGTTCTTTTTTAAAGGTGAAGATATTTCACATTTAAATTAGTTATTTCATTGCTGCCTGTTGCTGTATTTGCTAAGCTATAAAATTCAGTAGTTTGGCATTTACATAAAAGTATGTAATGTTTGGGACTTGCTTCAAAGGAATCTTTTTGGGGGAGATTAAGAGGGGTGTACATGAACAAAGATTTGCCATGTTGACAGTTACTGAAGCTGGATGATGTTTACTTGGGGGTTCATTTTATGATGTTTTTCTACTTTATATTTGAAGACTTTTTTTTTCATGATAAGAATAAGGTAAAAAGGAAGCTACTGAGAAAATTAAATTGTTTGAGTTTCTTTGAAGGTTTAAAAAGTATAAATTCTCCATATTGGTGTTTATAATCACCATCCTCAGTGTCATCCTCATATTATGTCCCAGAAAGATACAGATAGAATGTGAGGACATAACAAATTTTAAGTGATCGTTTGCAGCATTCGTTTGTTTCAGAATTCTTCTACATGGAATACTGCTTTTAAACAAGTAACCCGTAGACTAGGCCTTGAGGATCATTTTTCTCTACGAGGATTTTATCATGATGGCATATGCAATTATGTTTGTTTTTTAAACACAATTTAGTGCAATATCTTAGAACACTTTTCTATTCTCCTTCCCAGAGTCCTTGATAGGGACTTAGAATGCTTATTATGTGGGTGAAGAACTAGTCTGTTTCTTCATTTACAGATGGGGAAACTGAGACCTAGAAAGTGATATGCTAAACTTACACTATTAAGGGACCATGTCTTCTGTTTTCTCATTATTTGACCAAATTATTACTTTCCATTTGGATAAGTCCAACAACCTCCATTTTTCCTCACCACAAACAAGAACTTACTTCTTCCCCACCACTTCCACAAAAAAATTATAAGTACATTAAAAGATCATTTTAGAATTAAGATCTTGTTACTTATCCAAGCTCATATTTAAATTACGTATATTAAAAAATCAAGAGCCATGAAAACCTGGGATTCAGGGAGGTTTTAGTGGCATTTGGATGAGCTGTTCTTTTTATAGATTCTTTCATCTATATTTTTATTTCTTTACCTTTCTCTCCCCATACTCCCCTTGTGAGTTTTCTGTCTATATTTTCATTTTTCACTATGTGTTTTGGCTAGATGCTTTCATTGTGAAATAATAGTCTAGGTCAGTGGTCTTAATAATTTTAAAATGACTATTAAAAATAAAAGAAATAACGTAAAACTAAACTTCTTTAAAAAAAAAAAGCCCATCATCTGAACATTTTCTGCCTCTCAACTCTTCTGATTCCCTTTCAGCTATACATTTAGGTTTTTACACCAGAAGCACAGCAGGATTTAAAATAGCTTTTCACAAAATTGATTTTGCCAGCATGAAATCTGCAGAGGTCGATCTGTTATCTTCAGAATTCTGCCTTCCAGCTGTGCCATGGCTAAGACTCCAGGCAGTGAAGAGAGGCATATTATTTGGTTTCCTAAATGCTAAGAGGCACTTACCTTCCACACCATACAATTTGGTGTGGTTGGCTGTCCAGCTAGTCTTTTTAGAGGTCAGGAGTGGGTGGGGAGGGAAGGAATTAAGATGAGGATTGAGTTGGGCCAACAGCTAGAAGTTTATTTGGCTTTTAGGCACTATTTGTTAGTCTTCCATAAGCCCCTGATCATCCTTAAAGTAGGAAATATAAAATGTCCCTTCATAATTTGAACTTTAATGTCACCATTGATTTTAATTGTAGTCAGTCTAGATTTCCAGAAGAGGCTACCTTAAGAAGACACTTAATAGCCACTCCCCTGAGATTTATGCTGGATCCTGAATTCATTTGGATTTTTAAGAGTTATTTATTTTAGAGAGAGTTTCTTCTTCTGTCAGCATGAAAGGAAATCACACCACTTGTATTTTAATGTTTGTTGCTACAGCCATCATAAAAGGAAATACACTTCTGTGTTCCCCCCCTCCTTTTAAACATTTGCTGAATGACATTTTACACTAGGCACAGCCCTGGAAAAGGATGCTGGGGTGGGTAAAGTAGGAACTAGGGAGAATCTTTACCTCTCTCAGTAAATAAGAAATGGGACATGACCACCTCCTTAACTTAGAGTGTCTTTATCAACTGGGTGTAAGTTGGCTTTCAGATGTTAAGATTCAGATATTTTTATTTTCATCAAAGTCTTTAGTTTGCCCTTTTGTACATGTCTTAGATTTATACAGTTGTTTTTCTAAGAATTTTTATTTCCCTTTTGTCCAGGTATTTACCACCAGAGTGTTTTGTGGTTGGGAAGGAACCACCAAAGATCTCAAATAAAGTTGACGTCTGGTCAGTGGGTGTGATCTTCTACCAGTGTCTTTATGGAAGGAAGGTAATGAAGACGGCTGGATGCAGTGGCTTCTGTCTTGGTGGTGCTGTACACAGTGGCACTGTGTAGATTGTTCCCTTGGAATTAATCATTGGGTTACATAGAATGGAATCCTGAAAGTTGTGGTTTGAAGAAAATACAGACTTAATTATAGAAGCTTTATGCATATAAGCAGAAATGTTCAGTTCCAGGGCATCTAATGAATTCTCCTGGGCTGTTGAAGACATCCTTTTTTTGCCGTTCACAATTAGATCTAAAGAGCCCATGCACCACAATGAGAGAGCCCATATGCCGCAAGTCGAGAATCTCAATGCAGCCAAATAAATAAGTATTTTATATGTATATATACATACACACACATACACACAATCTTCCTGAGAGCCATTCTTTTTTTTTTTTCCATTTATTTTTATTAGTTGGAGGCTAATTACTTTACAGTATTGTAGTGGTTTTTGTCATACATTGACATGAATCAGCCATGGATTTACATGTATTCCCCATCCCGATCCCCCCTCCCACCTCCCTCTCTGTCCGATCCCTCTGGGTCTTCCCAGTGCACCACGCCTGAGCACTTGTCTCATGCATCCAGCCTGGGCTGGTGATCTGTTTCACCCTAGATAATATACATGTTTTGATGCTGTTCCCGAGAGCCATTCTTAAGGGTCGCAAGAACTGAAACTTGAAATACCTGCAAGTCTCCTTATTCCCAGCCACCCCATTAGCATAAAGTATGATTGGATTTCTATACTGGGGAACTGGTGCCAGAAAGTACTTATTTTCTGTTGCTTCTAATAAAGGTAATATATTATTCGAATAAGTGAAAAGCTAAGTAGTAAGCTACACATAATGAATTTCCACATTTATGTTTTCCTTGTGAGCATAATATCTTGTATATACTAGGATCCATTTGTGTGTTTACATTCCTATTTCTGCTACCAGTGCATTTGTATGTTTCAACGTTCCCCGTTGGGCTGTGGGTATAAACCATTTGGGAGCTCGGCAACTCAGTTAGATTCCTGATCCTTTGATTTCCAGTCCCCAGACCAAACTTAATTCAGATCTCAGCTTGGTCTTTAACTTTGCTTTGGTCTTTGTTTCTTTATTGTACCTATCTAACATTCAGAAACTGTTCAGAACTAATGGGGTTAATTATTATTTATACTCTGATATTGTGGAAGTGCTGCTGATAATGGTGGCAGAAGTTATCTAGCAAGAATTGTGATCTCAGTAGAAACACTACAGAGATGACACTAGGTGTGAACTTCTTTCTTAGGAGTTTATTAGAAAATACTCACTGAGTAGCTCCAGATCTTTTTTTCTTTCTCCCCCACTATGTCCTGACCCCTCTCCTCTCACTTCCTTCCCATCTTTTTATCTGCGTCTTGGGTCCATCCGTGGCACACATGCATATTATTGCTTCAGGCCAAAGAGGTTGCTGGTTCCCATTCTGAATCTTCCTTACCTTTGCTATAAGCAAAGCTTAGCAGAGGCACTGTGCAATAGCAAATGCTACTTCTGGTCCCAGCTCTGCATTAACCTAGATGTTGGAACTTGAGCAAATTACTTCAAAAGCAACTTACTTCAAATCCACGCCTTTCTATCCTTTATAAAATGAGAGAATTAGAGGAGATCATCTCTAAAGTTTCTTCCAGCAATTCTTGTGGAAATACATGTTTACCTTTCCCTTCTCTTTGCTTTTGAATTGTGTTCTCTTTAATTTTAACCAGAGGCCTGCCTTTGTTTGTTTTTTTTATATGATAGCCTTTTGGCCATAATCAGTCCCAGCAAGACATTCTACAAGAAAATACTATCCTCAAAGCTACTGAAGTGCAGTTCCCGCCAAAGCCAGTAGTAACACCTGAAGCAAAGGTAAGTTTTGACCCATTGGCCAGCAGAAATGTCTGCTTTGCTTTCTCTATTATTTCTCTGGGTAATTTCTCCAACCTCTATCTTCTTCCCCCTGTCTCTTCCCACAACAAATACTTATTAGGTACCTAGTATTAGACAACTTCCCAGATGGCACAGTGGTAAAGAATCTGCCTGCCAATGCAGGAGAAGAGGGAAATGTGGGTTCAGTCCCTGAGTAGGGAGGATTCCCTGGAGTAGGAAATGGTAACCCATTCCAGTATTCTTGCCTGGAAAATTCCATGGACAGAGGAGCCTGGCAGGCCACAGTCCATGGGGTCATGAAGAGTTGGACATGACTGAGCGACTAACCACAGGTGGAAGTACTGAACACTGTTCTGGGTCGTGCAAAGGGCTGGGACTATATAGCAGTGAACTGTGTAGACAAGGTCTCTGCCCTTATAAAGTGTGTGTGTTACTAGGTGAGATAAACAGTAACTAAAAATGAATACCTTTCAGATGGTGATAAATATTATAAAGAAAAGAAATCAGAATAATGGAAAGGGAGAGGTGGGAACCTCCTTTTTTGATGTCATGGTAGAGACAAGGTCTCCATGATGAAGTGACTTTTTTCAACAATCTTGACGGATGTGAAGGTGGGAGCCATGTGTAGATTTGGGAGAGTATTCTGAGCAGAGAGAAGAGGATGAAGCTCAGATGTGAGTGTGAGCTTAGCTAGTCCCCAGAGCAGGCAGAGCAGAGGAGAGTGGAGAGAGACAGCAGGATGGGCTTAAGCTTATGGGAGGCAGTTGAAGGTTTTCGTCCGGCCAGCCATGTAATCTGATTGCTCTTTCAAAAGCGTACCCTGGCAGCTGTGTAGAGGGAAGATTCAAGGCAAAAAGAGTATATTTGAGTTGGTATCCAAGCCAAGAAAACCTTCCAGCTCCAGATATCTCACTAAGGAATCTTCATTTTTAAAGGTCAAGGACCACTATGTTCATTTCTATGAATTTGTTATCTTCTAGATGTTTTAATAAAGCAACTGCCTATAGATGTCTTTGCTTTTGAAAAACCAGGAATTTTATCAATTAAACACGGAAAAATAGAAAATCAGTAGTTCATTTTATGTTTTTAGATATATTAAAGTAGACTTTACTTTTTAGAGCAGTTTTAGACTCACAGCAAAACTGAGTGGAAAGTAAACATTTCCATATACTCCTTGCTGCTGCAACCCCCCTCCCTTTGCACAGCCACACCCACCAAAAGCACAGCAACCTCCACCAGAATGTCAGCAACCTGCCCCAGAATGGTAAAAAAAATAGGAAGACAGATAATGTATGTAAGGGCCTCTGCCAATGCAGGGGACACGGGTTCAATCCCTGGTCCGGGAAGATCCTACATGCTGTGGGGCAGCTAAGCCTGTGTGTCACAGCTACTGAGCTCACGTACCTAGAGCCTGTGCTCTGCGACAAGAGAAGCCTCTGCCGTGAGAAGAAGCCTGTGCACCGCAACTGGAGAGTAATCCCTGCTCGCTGCAACTAAAGAAAGCCCTTGCACAGCAATGAAGACCAAGTGTAACCATAAATAAACAAATAAAAAATAATTGTAGAAACTGAGGCTATGTAGCTCTTCATACCCAGCAGAAAGGAAACGTCCATGTTGGTAGTAAATTAGGAATCCAAATCAAACCCCACTCACAGTAAGCTTGTATGTTTGCAGAACTCTTGGGGGAGACAAGCCCTAGTCAGATTTTCCTTCACTTAGATGTGTGCCTGCTCATTTGCTTAACAACTTTTCAAGGGAGAATAAGATACACCGAGAAAGCACTTAGCAGCGCGTGACACGCGGCAGGGTTAGTGTCGTCTCTCACCTTTCCTGCGGTGATAGTTTGTCACTGCAGTGTTCACGTCCTCAGGAAGGTCACGTGAGACCAGGTGCAGAGCTGTGAAGTGAGGCTGTGCCCATGCACGCCAGCCAAGGCAGAGAGAGACTTTTCTTCTGCTCTTTGTGCTCTGGGGACAGAGATCTGTAGAGGTCATGCACCGCTCCCCCTCGGGAATGGCTCAGGCATCTGTGCTGGAGAAGGAGTCAGTGGCCACAGAGCAGCGCTGCATCTGGCACGTCTCCTCTGGGTCCGCCTGGTGGCTTCCAGGCGAGGCCCTAAGCCCCTTCTCTTTGGGAGACTTTTGCTCTGGGCCCTGGCAGCTGCTACAGAACCTCCTGGGTTCCCTCTTAGGGTGCCAAGATAACCTGCTTCAGGCTTCTTCAAGAAACTTTCCTTTCAGGCGTTTATTCGACGATGCTTGGCCTACCGAAAGGAGGATCGCATCGACGTCCAGCAGCTGGCCTGTGACCCCTACTTGCTTCCTCACATCCGAAAGTCGGTCTCCACGAGTAGCCCTGCTGGAGCTGCTATCGCGTCAACCTCGGGGGCGTCCAATAACAGTTCTTCGAATTGAGACCCACTCCCAGCCACGGACTGTTCGACACACACAGAGTGGACAAACGGCGTCCAGCAGCGGGTTTGGAACATAGCGAATCCAAATGGATCTCATGAAACCTGTACCAGGTGCTTTTATTTTCTTGCTTTTTTCCCATCCATAGAGCATGACAGCATCGATTCTCATTGAGGAGAAACCTCGGGCAGCTCTGGCCAGGCCTCGTAGGAAAAGGCCCCGCCCAAGGTTCCGGCGTCAACGGCCACTGCGTGTGGCTGCTCTGAGTGAGGAAAAAATTAAAAAGAAAAACTGGTTCCATGTACTGTGAACTTGAAAACATGCAGACTCAGGGGGGGTCCCTGATGCAGTGCTTCAGATGAAGAATGTGGACTTGAAAATACAGACTGGGCTAGTCCAGTGTCTATATTTAAACTTGTTCTTTTCTTTTAATAAAGTTTAGGTAACATCTCCTGAAAAGCTTGTAGCACAAAGGCTCGGCTGGGGATGGTGTTTGACTTCGGAGGAAAAAAGTTGCTATTGCCCGTTAAAGGCACTAGAGTTAGTGTTTTATCCCTAAATAATTTCAATTTTTAAAAACATGCAGCTTCCCTCCCCCCTTTTTTATTTTTGAAAGAATACATTTGGTCATAAAATGAAACCCGTATTAACAAGTACGTGGCAATGTTCATTCCAATCAGATGCAGCTTTCTCCTCCGTCTGGTCTCCTGTTTGCAATTGCTTCCCTCATCTCAGTAGGGAAAAAATTGAGTGGGAGTACTGAGATGTGTGGGGTTTTGCCATTGGACAAAGATTGAGGTTAGAACTCTGCAGCTTGGAGTCTCTCTAGGTTTTCAATTATTTCTTCACAATTTGAACACTTGACGGTTGTCCCTTTTAATTTATTTGAAGTGCTATTTTTTTAAATAAAGGTTCATCTGTCCATGCAGTCCTCTTGGATTCTCTGAATGTAGTAGCCATCGAAACTGTTCCAAAGGTAGGCAGAGCACAGGCTGGGGAGCCAGTGCTCCAAGGAGCAGGAATTCCCACCCACAGACCCCGTGCACTTGCTGAACGGTGTACATTTCTTGTTAACAATGACATTAAAACTTGATCAGCACATAAGCTTTCCTCTGTTAGATCTTTTGACAGGAAACAGCCTCCCGCCACCTGCATTATGTGGGTGTGTGCTGGTGTGTGTGTCTGTGTGTGTGCACATGCACACACACAGACACACACACACACTTTGTCTAACTCACTTTAATAGATTCATTGAGTGAAGTTAAAAAATAATCTCAAAGTAAATAGGTATTTCAAATATGAACATTCTTTTGGAACTTTTTTTTTTTTAAAGGGGGTGGTTCCGAAAAGGAAGAACAACCGAAAAAGGAACCGAAAAGGGAACCGCCGGGCCCCCCCCCATGCCCTTGAAACAGCAGAACACTCGACAGTAGAGGGGGGAAGGAGGCCAGAGTCTGAACATGTGGTAGCCAGCTTGGAATGTTACTGACATATGTGGCAAGAGGGCTCAGCCAGAAATATTTAAAGATGCAGTACTCAGGCATGTGAGTTGCCTGGGCAAGGGGCAGGCTGGGGGGGTGGGGTGGCGGCAGTCAGGAAGGGTAGAGAGCACTCAAATGACTCACAACTAGTATTTCTTTTAAATGTGAGAAATGCCAGTAGTGATACATTCTCCAGGACCTTTATGGACCTGCCCCATTCCCAGTGTCAGGCGATCTTAAGGGAGGATGGAGTGTTCCAGATTAAAGAGAGGCTCGTGGGCAGGTGTTGTCCTGTGGAACTCTGAAGGGAAGGAAGTCAGCTCCTGAGTGCTTGCTCAGCCACCCCCCCCCCCAGCTTTCCACAGCAATCTTACTGCAATATATATATTTACACACATGTATGTATAGTGTCTTTTTCTTCTTTAACCATTACTTTCAAGCTGCTAAGCAGAGTACCCATGGGGTCTCAAAGGTTGAGCACAACACTGTAAGGATGGTGCCTACATAGGTGAAGAGATGGATGAAGTTGAGACCATGTTTAAACTTACTCAAGGCAATGAAGTTCTGTTCCTCTTTTCTTCTCACCCCTTCAGTGATCTTGAAGAATTGTGTTTTGTTTAATTTCTAACTTTCTTCATGTTGAAGGAACGTTGCATCTTTAAGCCTTCCCTCTAATTTCCTGCCTCCTTTCCCCCAGGTTCTTACGAGCCAAGGTGTAGGATGGTATTTGGTAATTTATCTTTTCTGCCCTCCTCCTGAAGAAGGGATGCCCTCTTTTCCTGCTCTTCCTGGGCCTAGGGCTTGGCTGGAACTGTCTGGGCTTGGTTGAGTCTGGGCACAGCCTCTTTCCACTGCATGGATAAGCCCCAGGGAACAGGCAGAATGGTGACCTTTTCTAGACTTGTAAGTAGCCAGTGAAATCACTAAGTGGAGTTCTTCCATGACATATTTTGTTAATATGGGTTTCACTTTTTCCAAGGATAATCCCTTATTGCCACAATGTTGATTTCCTTTAAACAATGACTCCCCCCCCCAAAAAAAATGTGTATTAATTTGTAATTAAACCCAGCCAGATTGTTTTGGCCTTTCCCAATTTGGGGGGTGGGGAGGATATTAAAATAAGTTTTAAGAAGTGACTTTCCTAGCCTCTTGATTTTACTGTAGTTCTCCAGCTTTAATCAGGGCCCTCACCACCTAGGGTATAGCTCGAGGACTCCTGGCAGCTGGCAGAGTCCCAGTGGATGTCACAGTCGTGATGGGAATGTGTGGGTTCATTTGACATCTTTCACCCTTATGTGCCAACAGCTAGAGTTGTGGCTGGGAATAGCCACAGTGAACAGAACGGGCAAGGCCTAGCCGTGACCGTGAACTCATAATTCAGGGCTGGAGGCACTGGCCTGAGGAAGACATGAAATACAGAGGTCAAAGAGAAGGAGCTGGGCTCTCCCTCTTCCATCACGGCACAGCAGCTTTACATGGAGTCTTCGCCAGGCAGACACGTACGAGCCCCACTTGTGTGGCTGGCCTGGACGGGTCTGCTGTCTTTTTTTTAGAGGGCTTGTTTTTTTCTTGCCTTCTAGTCCAGGAAGGACAGGTTTTCCTCCAGCTGCGAAGACTAGCAGTCAAGGAGCTCTTGAGTTTCTTAATTTAGAAAATAACTCCCTTTAAACATAGTTATCTCCTAGAATCCTAGAGCTAGAAGCAAGCTTTGGCCTAGCTCCTTGCCCCTAAGAAGGCGAAGTTTGCAACTAACTTGACTCATCTTTGGCAGTCTTTTGCTTTCTGAGAATCTTTCCTTCTCTCTAGCACACATCACTCTCGTCACTCGAGCCCTCTTTGCCTGTAATTAAAATCCACCTGGGGTAAGTTGGGGAGAGACAGGATGCACAAACTAGCTATTCTGTTTTAGTTTCTGAAGGCAGAAGTTAAGAGCTTCACCTAGAGGTTAAGAGCCTGGGTTTTAGAATTAGGTCTGGTTCAAGGCCCGCCTCCACTGGCTTCAAGAATTTCTCCTTGCATGGTTAGAATAAGGAGTAGAAGTGAGGTATTTAAAGTACCTGGAACACAAGGGGGGAATCAAAAAGTGTGATTTTAAAAAGATCACAAGATTTAGTGAGACCAAGACTGCTGGCTGAGGCTCAGAGCCTTTCTATTCTCCAGGTTGTCAGGAGGTTTTGCCTGGGGTTTGGATGCAGACCTTGGGGAGCCTTCCTCTCAGTCTTGAGATTCACTGTCAACCTCTGTCCTGCAAGGTCAGTAGTCTTCTCTTACCCTGCATTCAAGACTGCTCTGGGAGGAGGCATCTTACAGGCCAGTGTGGCCCCTGGGCCAGCAGCAGCAGTATCACCTGGGAACCTGTTGGGAATATACATTCTCAGCCACCCTGTCCCCTTATCTGTCTCCCAGATGGCATGAGCACTGAAGGTCACAAGCCCTGCTGACCTTGTCATCCACCCCAGCCAGGGGGCAGTTGGAGGGTGACTTTCATGGCTTGTCTAAACTCACCCAGCTGGAAGACAAAGATGGCTTTGTTTTACTTTTTGTGTTGGGGATAAAAATCTGCTTTAAGCTCCAGGCTGTCCCAGGACCAAACATCATACTGCTAATCATACTTCTATAACCTTTTACAGGTGCCTTGCTACCTAACAGCATTCTCAAGAGTCATTCATTCCTTCTGGCAAAGCTTCTTACCTTTGGTCTTCTCTTTAAATGTGTGTGTGTGTGTGTGTGTGTGTGTGTGTGTAAACTCATCCTTCTTGTGAATTAGTTTGTCACATTTTTCTCTTTACCTGAGGTCCCAGGGCTGCTGGAGGATTGAGGTCTGGATCTGCTTGTGAGTCTAGCCTGGCAGTTGGGGTCTGGGCCGAGGAGCAGGGCCGAGCTCCAGCTCCTTGGAAGAGGCTTGGGGAAGATCAAGCTGCAGAGAGGTCATGGGGAGAGGAGGGGGCCCTGTGGGTGGTTTGGGGGAAACTGCCAGAGGCTGGCAAAGCCGGCAGTCCTGGGAGCAGGTCTGGGGTATGGTGGGGGCAAGGAATAAAGAGACCTATTGTGTTGGGGAAGCTTGTAGGGCCGGAGACAGGCTGGAGTCAGCAGAGGGGGTGTGTGTGGTATTGGGCAGGAGACCCCATGGTGTGAAGGGGTCAAAGAGCTACAGGCTGGCTGGCTCAGCCTCACCCATCCCTGGCCACCAGGCAGACCTCCTGGGTGTGGTGGGAAGTGCCCAGCAGAAAACTTCGTGAACCTCGGCCTCCTCGGCCTCCAGGCACAGCCTGCAGCTGCAGTGGCATCCAGTACTGTCCCAGCCTTTTCACCCTGAAGGCAGCTTGGGGTGGGGGTACCGAGGGCAGGATCCACAGAGGGAAGGGGCTCTCTTGCTTCTGCTTGGCAGAGAAGTTCCTCAGCTGTGTGGCTTCCCAGCCTAGGGTGGGCAAGGTAGAAGCACCTCGCTAGTTCTATGTACGAGGAAACCAAAGCCCAGATAGATTTGGTGACTGCTAGGAAGTAGAGGGGGCTTCCCAGGTCGCTCAATGGTGAAGAACCCGCCTGCCAGTGCTAGAGATGCAGGAGACATGGGTTTGATCCCTGAGTCAGGAAGATCCCCTAGAGGAGGGCACACCTGGCAAGCTACAGCCCATGGCATCGCAAAGAGTTGGGCACGATTGAGCACTGAGCAGTAGGTAGAGGATTGAAGGGGAGGGACTGCCGGCTTGAAAACTTTAAAAGGCGGTTTCTCTGAGTGCCATCCTTGGGCAGAGTGCACCAGAGGTGAAGGCTGCACCCGGGCTCCCAGCCAGAGGCATATGTTGCTCTAATTTTGGGCTCCCCCACCCCGCCCACTGCCTCCTTTACTGGGTCCTCCTGCTCCCTCAGGGCCCCCCCTTAGAATGGAGACTCAGCTGGCCTGGGCAGCAGCCCTGCCCTCTGCCGTCTTGAGCTAGAACTGAAGTTAGGTGGGAAGATGGGGCCATGGTTTCACAGAAGATTCCTGCCTCAGGTTCCCAAATGCTCTCATCGTGTCATCTCGCTTTATAGATGAAGGAGTGAAAAATCTGTCTCACGCCACCTCTCCCTTACTTCTTTGCTTGCTTGTGTGCACGTGTGTGTGTGTGTGTGTGAGAGAGAGAGAGAGAGATGCAGGTCTTTTGTCAGGGAGTGAGCAGGACTGGGCAGGGACAGCCAGGGAGCCTGTGTAGCTGGTTCCAGGTCTTCAATAGCAGTGTTTTCCAAAATTTTTTCACGGCAGCATCTCAACCCAATGCACATTTCAGAGACTAGAATTTTTAGCTCATGTGCTGTGCACTGATATTTACTCTTTTACTTCATCTTAAAAATGTTGGCCACTGGGACTTCCCTGGTGGTCCAGTGGTTAAGACTCCGTGCTTCCAATGCCAGGGGCATGGGTTCAATCCCTAGCTGGGGAACTAAAATCCCACATCCCCCCATGGTG